TTTCGATTTTAAAAAGATTGGCCAAGTGTGCATTATGTTATGCATGCCTGATTGAAACAAAACACATTAATTACACTTGTGCTCCTTTGGCCTCCTTTCTGCCTGTGTGGCACCGTCAAAACAATGGCAAGCGGCCTTCATGGCAGGCAGCGCCTAAGTGACATTCCATCATTCGCCCCACATTCTCCCCTTGTTCAAGCCCCGTTTGTAGCCTCTTAATGAGTGGAAGATGCAGACAGGGGAGTGGGTATTACTCACAGTCAAAAATGGGCTTCGCTGCATTGACTGGAGGTGCATTGACTGTGAACCCTCCTACGCAAACATCGTTTTACCTGAACAGAGATTGTGCATGGCAAAGACCTTTCCTCCATCCCTTACGCCCACATTCTTCCTCCTTCGCCTTTCTTTTGTGCATCGAGATAGAACGAGAAGACGCAGAAACGGAGGCCATCGCTTACACAGGCTTCTTCAGGTGCTCTTCACCCCCACTCAACCACTAGAAAGCGTGTTTGCAGTTGATTGGCTTTTGCAAAGACCCGCGCCATGGGGGTAGTCGAGTCCAGATGGATTTGCGCACAGTCTAATTTGCAGTTCACAATATGTGGAGTTAAAGTAGGGACCTACCCAATCACGGCAGTTGTGTATGATAAACTTCACCTGGTGAGAATGTTACCCATGAGGTTCAAGGTTCTTCCCGCACAAGGAAGAGGTGCGGCTCCACCATCCGCATTGACTGGAACTTTTCTCATATCTTCTCGGCTGTTATGAGTACGTTTTTCCAACGTCTTCCTTGTGTATCTTACTCTGCCATGGCAGCAGTGACCATTTCAACCTCCACTCTTCCACAGTGTTTAGGCTGGCTTATTGGCATCAGTTGGACATATCATGATTCGCCGAGATCAGGACAGCATAAGCTCCTTACCGCTGTCACTTGCGGCAGCACACCTTCATTACTACTACGGGGCAAAGAACTAGGTCTGATATGCATCTCAAGTGGCTGTCCTCATTGCCATATTCAGCTCTCAC